GAGTACCATCATGAGGGATGTAATGGTAAGTGTAACACGAACAACTCTTCCCTACTTGTATCCTCCACAGATGAGCTCGTCAGCCATATCAGTGTACAGTTTTTCGCTGATGCAGGTATCGGGACGGGCTTTACAATCGGTCTCGCAACCAAACCTCTCCCAACTCAACCACCCCATAGGAGGTGTACGCGCCAGGCCATTTTCGAGGCCGCAGACGAGCTGGTGCATCCCGAAAACCACGAGCGTTACCAGGGTGGATGTATGGGACATCGAAGACCCGTTTGGAAAGCGATGCTACTGATTCGATGCTCCACACTATACACCGCCATTGTTCGAGAGCTTAGCGGAGTGTTGCGCCAGTGAAATCACCTCTGTAACGAAAGTGTACAAAACCTGAACATACCATTCAGAGCACACGATCTGCACGTGAGCAAGCGCACATGCGTGCAAAATACGTTTACGACCGTCCCATGGATCCAAGTCTAACAATCTCCTGCTTCCACGTGGATCAACAAGGCACCACTGGCCTGGTGTGCTCCAGCCACACTCACCTAATCCGGGTGATGTGCGGAGGGCATCCCTGCCAGGGATTGCACTGACGTGCAGTAAGTGGGACGGTCCCACTGAGAACAAGTTCACACCAATTGAGTGTCACACAATGCGTTGTCTACCACAATGTGGTAACCCCACAGAACCTTTAACGCATTCGCAGGCCATGGAATCCCTGATCTACAAAATTATACTAGTCTGAGTTTAGTGGCAACTTTATCTGATTGGCAATCTCAGCCTGAGATTCTCAGGCACATTCGGAATTCCAGTTCTCGGTGAGAACTTCTCGCTGAATGACGCCTCGGACCGATGCCCTCGGTTTTCCAATCCAACACTGTAGTGGCTCGAGCCGTGTCGGAGGGGTCTTTATTCACGAGAATCTTGTTTTGGATGACAAGATATGGTAAGAAAAGGGCGCGGAGTCACTAGACTACACCTTTTAATAGGAGCCGTAATCCCAGTTGGTCATAGTTACTATGGCATAGTAGCAGTACAAGTAGTTGTACTCGCTATTTCGTTCACGGGAGCACTCTGCTGTCCTATCAGCGGTAAGCAGGCGATGCCATATTCTACGGGAAAGGTTCGGAACGAAGCTTGCATCGGAAAGCTCTAAAATGAACATTATCAAGAGCGCGCGCCCAGACGATGGACATCGTTGTTCATATACGAGTCAGGCGAGTTAGGTACATGTTTGTGGTCTGTGTGAACCTACTGGTCACAAATTGTAAGAGTAGGTCTACACCACATGAAACATCTGATCGAGTGGACGACGAGGAGGCCAGCGATGTATCCACTCACAACAAGCCGCTAGTGGTAAACTCTCTTGAACCACACTATCTCATATGCACACGCTACACTAACGTGAACAGTTCATCTAGCAGCATGGAAACGAGCTTACATTACGATAACTTCTTCAGAATTGGGGATACGTAAGTGTGACACGTGCTTCAACTTTCTGACCTTCCGGATAATGACGAAGTGAACAGAGGAGGTGTCCACATTAGCTGAGTACTCGTCAACGAATAGACCAATATTTCGGCCTCGAAATAGGTCCCTCACGCTGAACCTGAAACAGACGTCGAACGTCTCACAGGCCGTACGGAAGCTCAACTCGAGGCTGTTAACGATCGATTTTATACCTCCCGACATCAACGAATGGGAGACTCTCACTAGAACCCGTCCGACGATCCACCACATCGATATCAGTCAGCTCTTGAATCGAACATCGAAGTCTAGTGATGTGCTTACTGTGTGCCTTCAGCCCATCCAGGTATGTGTCGAGTTGGCTGTAGAGCTATACGTTGGAGGCCAAAAATAGAATTGCTATTTTCTAGGAGAACAGCCCAGGTATCCACAGATTTATCGGTGCCGGCGAGCTCTCTGATCCAAATTCGCGCACCGTTCTCTGACCAGACTATGTAACCCTACGGAGAAGTGGAAGTCCGAACCCTAACACTCGGTAGCAGCAACGGTCGAATTGACAAACTTCATACTTGCTTCCCCAGAGGATCTTGGTTGACGGCTATTATCTCCTTATTCTGCACGATCTCCCGAGCCCAAGAAGGCATCGTTCGTAGGTCGGCGGCCAGATACCTATAGTAGTAGAATATCTATAGTAGCATACATACTGTCCATAACGCGACGGTAGCCAATGGATAATTGCCACGATGACGCATAGGTGATACACATCTACCAAACGTAAAAGGGTTCGATTTCAGCCTACAGAGGAGCGGCGAACATAGCCCATAGTGCGAACTGTGACTGTTGCTCAACCTCGCTCAGACCGTTGTTGCCGACCACTATCCTACGAGACGACAAAGGCTATGGTTGATCAGTAGAAGAGAACTCCTGACTCACATGTCGGGATCATTCCAGTGACCAGGACCCGCTGCGCGTATCTAAAAGCACTTCGTGCTTTGGCATCGAATGAGTCGCTGTGAGGAGTCCTCACAGCGAGTCCTCACGGAGGACACCTCATAGTGCGTGAGTCAAGGCGCTATGAGTCAAGGCCCTTGACATATAATCCAGCAACCACATTTGCTCACCAAAATATCAGTTGAATTTTGTCGAGCCCAAAAGTTGGTGATCCCCTGGATAGATGCCCAAGAGTCGTAGATGTCGTCGAAATTGCGCCACAGATTGCAAGCGGGAGCGATCTCTTTTACAAGAACGTCTTTGTCCTCTGCATGATCGGCTAGGTATGCTGGCCAACTGCGGTGGACACATCACAATAATTCCAGTATTCAGTATACCTGCACGAGTAGAGTATCGGCCTCCCTGTAGCGTTCAGGAGTCTCCCTAATTGAGGGTATGTCTCTTCAAATGTCTGGAGAGCTTTGACCGTCAATAAGGCGATAAAGTGGAGCAGTTGTGAGACTTACACTTGTGTCGGCATAGCATCCATCCACCTTTAGGGAATCAATGCCCCATTCAGCGAAGGTCTTCACGTCCTGTTCGAAGTGTCCCTCAAGACCAGGGTATCCGCCGCAGGTTTTCGTCCCAATGTCCTGTGAGATGAGCAGGTCGAAAGTATGTCAAAGAGGCTCTTACCGCGTAGATGCCCAACTTGAGGCCGCGACTGTGCATATAATCGGCCAACCATTTGACACCATGAGGGAAGCGTTCTGGATCCGGAAGGATCCCTCCTGTCTTCGCGTCTCTCTCCA